CGAGAAGCCCGAACGACTCACACCAGGACGAAGAGCCCGAACGACTCACACCACGAAGAGCCCGAACGACTCACACCAGGAAGAAGGGCCCGAACGACTCACACCAGGACGAGAAACCCCAAACGACTCAAACCACGAGGAGCGCTTTCTCTCCCTCCTCCTCCGCCTCGTCCTTCTCCCGCTCCCACCACAAGGAGGATGTACAAGGAGGCGGGAGGAAGGAGGAACAGGGGAGATATGCGGGGGCAGGCGGAAACACGCCTGAAAAACACGACTGTCGGCATGCTTCGCTAGAGTTGCTGTTTTGAGATGGGCTGGTGGGGATACGCGAAGCGTGAATAATCGTTTTCAAAATTGTGGTCCTCGCCACAGGCGCCGCGCGCATGTGTTCTAACAGCCTCTGGGAACTTTGTCTGGATACAGGACCAACCGTTTTCAAAATGTGGGTGTCGCATTTGCGCCGCGAGCATTCTTTGTGAAACGTTCCAGCAGCTTCAAGGAGGATGGAGGCCGGCTCGTTTACAACACGCGATTATCACTTTGGAACTTCCTCGAGGTCCCCAGCCCGAACATTCCAAACTGCGGAGCCAGTGCAGGGATGGACGGCGGCCCGTCTGGGAGAGCAGCGATGCTGTTGCTCGGGTCGCCGAAGAGTTGCAACGTCGATGCTCGAGGCGCCAAAGAGCCGCAACATCGATCGCACGTGAGTGCTGCACGGATGGAGGCCAGCTTTAAACAAACAGGGGGCTGTCGCTGGAGCATCGATCGCACGCGAACATCACACGGACGGAGGCCAGCTCTAAGCAAACAGGGGGCCGTCGCTGGACCCGCCCTGGCAATCTACCCTGGCACGTGCCGCTTGCTCCTGGAGCGAGGGCAACGGAAAGGGCGTTGGCGAAGCGAGGTCTCGCCAGGGGGGGACAGGCCCACCGGCCGCTCGCCACGCAAGGGGCCGCTCCCTGGCGGGAGAGGATACTTCTGGGAGCGGGCTGTGAAGATGGGACTCGTGACGGGAGGGCGCAGTGCACCACCATTGAGTGCACCATGGGCTTACTCTGTCCCTTTTCCTCCCCCTCCCCGTCCACATCTACCGTCGTGCTCCACAATTACTCAATATGAATATACTCTCCCTCTTCCCCTGATGGCGTCCGGGGGATGGCCGCGCACCCTCCGCGTACTGTTTTTTTACACACAGGATGCCCGGGAAAATCTCGGGAAACGACTCTCGCTGAGGCGCCGGCGTCTTTTTTTCCCAAAATCTTCCCCTGATGGCGTCCGGGTGATGGCCGCGCACCCTCAGCGTATTGTTTTTTAACACACAGGATGCCCGGGAAATCCCGGGAAACGACTCTCGCTGAGGCGCCGGCGTCATTTTTTTCCGAAAATGCTGCTCTCGTTGAGGCGCCGGCCTCGTTTCTGCTCCCGAATCCTTCCCCTGATGGCGTCCGGGTGATGGCCGCGCACCCTCCGCGTATGGTTTTTTAACACACAAGATGCCCGGGAAATCCCGGGAAACGACTCTCGCTGAGGCGCCGGCGTTATTTTTTCCCAAAATGCTGCTCTCGTTGAAGCGCCGGTCTCGTTTCTGCTCCCGAATCGTTCCGACTCGTGCTCCCGCTGCAGCGTGGGCCTCATTTTCGGATCGGTGTTTGGCCTCCGTCGTTCAGGATGGCGTTCTCGCCCCAGCGCGGGCCTTTTTCTCGCGCGCCCATCCGCCCGCCACCACCGCGCCCACCACCACCACCACACCACCACCACCACCACACACCACCACCACCACCACCACCACCACCACCACCACCACCACCACCACCACCACCACCACCACCACCACCACCACCACCACCACCACCACCACGACAACCACGCACACACGCACGCACGCACGCACGTGCACCACCACCCACTACGCACGCACGCGCGGAGCCACAGGTCCGCTACGACACGCGTCCGCGGATAGAGAAAATCAGCGCCATGGTAAGGGATGGGAGGGAGGGGTAGGACGTCAGATATGACGCGAGCGCACCTAGCTTGCCCCTCCCCCCTCCCCGTCCCCCTCCTCCGCCTCCTTCTCCTCCTCATCATATCCCGCCTTGCGCTCCTTTCCCCCCCCCCCGCGCCATCCCACTCCTCCTCATCGTCAGAAGTGGCTCCTCTTCGCCAGGCTACCAGGCCTTCTCGACTGCCTCCACAAGCGGCGCGTGAGTGATGGTTTGTAAAGCAGCTGGGAAACAGGCGACGAACATTGCGGGTAACTTGAACACTGCGGACACGACATCACATACTTTCCGGCGAGCGCGGTGGTGACGGACCGCGTGGTGAACCCCCAGCGGCCTTACAGCGCGGTCCGTCACCACACGGTCTTGAGACCTTAGAAAGCCCCACCCGTCCGAGGCACCCTCAGAGAGCGGCCCGAGCCCCGATGCCCACTGGCACGCGGCGTGATCCCCACAACCTTTGGGCTCCCCCGATCACTGCTTGACTGCGAAAGTCGATCGCACTGGGACGGGGACATCACATAGACATTCTGATCGGTTGTAGCCAGGCCGGGGAAGTGCGACCAACAGAACGACACCCAAGTGTCCGACGAGGAAGCGGAGGAGAGAGGAGAATCTGTGAAAACCCTGGAGGCCTCGCGCGGCAACTTGAGACCCAACGTCACGTAGGGTCCACGACGGATTCACGCCAGATTATGTAGGACTCACATCAGGTGCGCGTCGGATCTAGCAGTGCAAACGTCGCCCCATATCTGACGGGCTGGACGTGCGGACTAGATAATACAACTATTGCGCGTCGCGCGAAGCCTCCAGGATTTGTCTCTTAGAATAGGAGACGATGCAAACTCTGCGTGTGGGCATCCCCGATGGCAGTGCCAGCTTTTCATATAAACACACAACGGAACGCAACGGGCACGCAGTTCCGGGCTCGGCAGGGGGGGAGGCAACGAAGGGAGGGAGGCGAAGGAGGGAGAGAGAAGGGCGTGCGCAAGCAGGCCTTCCGCCAGTGTTCGCCAGGCGAGGTGCTGCGGCTTTGGCAGGGTGCGAGCAGCGATGCCCGGCCGGAGCCCTGCGGAGCAGAGGGGGGGAGGACACGGCGCGCACACCCGCGGGCCTGGAGGCCGAGACCAGCCAGGAGCAGGGAGGGGGAGTGCGCAGAGGACCGGCCACCCGCAGAGCTCCACGCCGGGCCCCCCCCCCAGGCGTGCACACCGCTGCACGGGCATGCGCCAGGGCCGCTCCCCGCCGCAGCACTCGTCACGCCTGTCGGAGCTGGAGCTGGAGCCGGAGCGGTGGTGGACTCAGGGCTGACGCCAGAGCCACCATGATGGCGGCGCTGCTGGTCGCAGCAGCACCGAGCCAACGTTGCAATCTGCAGTGCTCGGCTCGTCAGTGCTGAGCACCGACGTCGTGCACGCCTGGGCTGGGGTCGGCGCCAAACGTCCGAGAAAGCATCTGAGTGGTAGCCGGAAAATGAGGCACCAGTGGAGTGAAGAATCAACATGCCTGCCTGAACTAATGCCCATCGGAACCGGCATCGGGGCGACAAATGGACCGGGAACCGAAGCCGGAAACGGAGCCAGCAGTGGGATAGCGGACGGAAGAGTCTGCTCTGTAGTCGGAGGTGGCGTGGGAACTGATCATGGAGTCTGTCGGGCGCACGAGATGTTGTGGAGCAGAAGCACTGCAGAGCTAGCCCTCCTGAGAGAACACTCATGTATAGAAATAGTTGTCCGCGTGATCAGATTTGTATTGCTGGACCAGGTCGCGGTGCTCAGCATGTAACTGCTGGTACCCAGCGCGCTGCTCACCGTCGTACTGCTGGAGCCCGTCGTGCTGCTCAGCGTCGTGCTCCTGGCATCCGTCCATCGCACTCCTGGATGCTGCAAACGCAGTTGCTGTACTTTCGTGCTGATTACGGTCGTACGACTGGAGACGGTGGTGCTGCTCAGCGTCGTGCTGCTGGTGCCCGACGTGCTGTTCCGCGTAGTGCCGTGGAGCTCATTGTGCTGTTCCGTATTGTGCTGCACTGCTGGTGTTCGCCGTGCTCCGCACTTCGAGTCGCAGGCGCTGCACTCTGTCGTGCTGATCCCCGTCGCATTGGTGGGACCTATCGTGATGCAAGAGTGCCCAGCCGATAGGCCGTCACACCCGAACTCACAATCACCACTCGTCGGGTAGAACCGGTTTGACGGTGCTGGTTTGACGGTGATGGGGTGTCTGCTGGGGGCAGCGTTGCGACTGCAATCGGCACCGGTGTCGGAGCTGCTCGGGTGGTTGGAGTCTGCGTCGGACCTGGCTCTTCCGTGGAGCAAGAGCAAGACTACCCTAGCAATCTCTGATCATCAGCCATCAAGCAATCGAGCACTCATACGGGCAGGGGGCGGGCTGGGCTGTGTTGCCCAATGCTGGCCCTGGCCTGGCACCTCTTCTCCACCTGTGCGAGAGCGCCGTGCGTCACTGATGCTCCTGTGATCCCCAGAGCCCACCATGGACTCATGACTACCAGCACTGGAACACCCAGCAGCTAACGCCCCTTCTGGACAAAGCCACCGCTTGAGAGGTCGGTGCACGCAACGGCGCCGAACGACTGCCACGCTCTCGCTTCAACGCAGCGCGCAAGGTCCAGAATGCAAGACTCTTGCTCATGATGCAAGATCGATCGATCCACACCCGAGAACGCGAGGCAGGATACACAGGGAGCACGCACGGGATCCTTGGGGCCCGGCGGCCGCGGTATGGAGTCGTCACTTGTCGCAGACGCGAGGCGGGATACCCGGGGAGCACGAGAGGGGGCCCTTGGGCCTTGGCGGCCGCGGTATATGCAGGGTGTGCGAGGTAGGCCTGGCGAGCTCTCTCTCTCTCTCTCTCTCTCTCTCTCTCTCGCTCGCTTTCTCTCCCTCTCTCTAGTTCGACCGAGGCCCAACCTGTAGGGTGGGGAAAAAACCCCTGCCATAATGAACACCGCGCAGGCGAGGAAACGAAACGGGGCTGCCGTTGAGCGGGCTGTGCCACCAGGCAAAGAGGAGAGGAGACGAAGACGAAGCGGCGGCCGAGACACAGGAACCGCAGGAGCTCCGCGCAGAATTCCTCGGATCGACGCGCGGGGCCTCCGCCGGGGGCGGCGCCGGAGGCACCGCCCGAGGGGGCCACCGCCGACTCGAGAGATCCGTCTCTCCTCGGGAGCAGCAGGAGCGGAGGGCGGCACCTCGGGTGCGCCGAGGCCGCGCGGCGAGGCCCAGCCGAGACTCAGACTGATGTCTGGTGCGGACCTCGGGGCTGCCGTGGTCCTCGCGGGCGCGGAGCAGTGGAGGGGCGATGCATGGGGGGGGGGAGAAAAGGTGCCCTTTCCGGGCCCAGAGCGCCCCCTTCTTTGGCCTCAAGGGCTCTCTTTCGGCAGCGCTCGCTGCCCCCCCGTCTCTCGCCCCCCCCAGTACGCGTCCATCGATTCTCGCCCTGTGCGGGCCCACCAAGGACCTCGCCTCTCTCATCGGGCCCCTTGCCGCCGGCGAGGAGAACACATCTGCGCCGACCCGTGAGCAGGCGGCTCGAGGTGGGTGGGCGCGAGGCAGCGACAGTGCTCATCCTCCTTCCCCGCCCTCCTCCTCCAATCCTGAATGTGAGATCTCCTCCCCCTCCTCCTCCTCACCTGCCTCGACCTCCTTTCTCTTCCCTCTCCTCCTCCCGCTCCTCCTCCTCCTGTTGTTTTTCCTCGTCCTCCCCCCCACCCCCCCTTTCATCCCTTCCCTGTTGGCGGGCACGGCTGCTTGCTCCGCAGATTTTGGCGCGGATGGTCCTGCCAGCGCCGATGAGATCGCCATCAGCCGAGCCGCCCAGCGACCAGACTGAAATCGGCGGCGCGTCCCGGGCGGAGGGGGGGAGCGCGATGGGGGGCGGAGCCTTCTCGGAGGACGGCGCGGCTTCTGAGAAGCCGCCTGGCCTTCCGAGAAGCCGTTTCTCTCCTCGGAGAAGGCTTGAATCGGGCGTGGCTTAGTGGGGGGGTCATAAATGGGGGGTCAGAAACGGTCCCCTTTCGTGCCCCTTTCGGGCCCCTCCGGAGCCCCAGGGGGCTCGTTTAGGTACCGTTTGGGTACCTTTTCGGACCACCCTCGCCACCCCCCCATTTATGACACCTCCATTACGCAACGCCCAATTGAAAAACACTTTTCGGAAGGCTGGAGGCCTTCCGAGCTCCCAAATTGAAAGCTCCGAGAAGGCGTTTCTGGTTGGCTTCTGGGACTGCTGCAGATGGCCAACGGGCTTCGGCTCCACGGCTGCCACGCCACTTTGGCCCACGATCTGCTCGTACCTCCTGCACTTCCCTGAACATTGCACGCCCCGACATCATTTCCGGATGGGCTGGTGCGTAGACAAGCGCGTTCCACTACTCACAAAGTAATTGCAAGCGATGCACGATACATTACGTCGATGCAGACATGTGTTTTTGGACGTTTGCGAGTATCCTCCTCCTCCTCCTGCTCCTCCTGCTCCTCCTAGTCCTCCTCCTCCTCCCCGTCCTCCTCCTCCTCCTCCTCCTCCTTAGGCACTTTGAGAATAATGGAACACGCTTGGTGAATGGGGATGTGCGAAACGTCACTCAATGCTTGCCATGCGTCATTGGGTTTGACCCCCCCACACCGGTCCCCTCCGGAAGTCCCGCGCACCAAACGCCAGCTCGTCGAGGGGGTCACCCTCACGCGTGGCCAGAATGAGGCTTGCGCCGCCGATCAAGACACTTTCATAGGTGAACGAAAAAGATCCATAAACACAAGAACTCAGAGGCCCGCGTGGTTTTCTTGGATCCGCGCTGGATTCCCCTCCCTGGCGCGCGGAGCGCGCCAGGGGCGGCGCCGGAGGCGCCGCCAGGGGGCTCCAGCGCCGGTCTGAGAAATCCGCGCGGACCTCCGAGTTCTTCTGTTCATGTCATTGTTCGTTCCCATACTTTGCCGTAGTACAGGACCACGGATGTGAGAGGGACCCAAAAAGTCCACGGAATCGGCGCGTGCTGGACGAAAGTGGAGAGAGGGGAGGATGAACGGCTCCCCTTCGCCCTGCATCTCCCCCTCCTATCCATCCACCTCTCCACCTTCTTATGCTCGTCGTCTTTATCCTCCTCCTCCTCCCCCTCCGTCCACATTCTCCTTCTCCGCCCCTTCTCCTCCTCGACCGATGCCTCCGCCGTCTTCTTTTCTCCACCCCTCCGGCAAAAGGGGGGCTCGAGCTGCACTTGTGAGCCCTCCTTCCGACTTCGGCCCAGAGACAGCCAGCAGGCGCCCAACTGGCCTCCAGACCCCCCCGAAAGGCGCCAGATGAAGAGGTTTCCCACAGGCCTCTTGTGAGACCGAAGACGACATCCAAGCGGCCTCTCGTCCACGACCTGTGCCCAATGGAAGCGCAAAACGCCCCGACCCTGTGGATAAGAATGAGCGGGCGGCGGCGCGGGCGCCAATGTGTCTAACCAGCCTCGAACTTATCCCTATCCCTAAGATGGGCCAGCAAAAAGGAAGGACAATCTTAGGGATGTGCCCTCAGAAACTGAGGGAATCCTTAAGATTGGCATCGAGGTGAGGTGATGCCAAAATCAGGGATAAGGATATGTTTCAAACTGGTAAGTGTCGCCCCCATGTGCCCCTTGCTGCGTGTCGGCCCCAAATGCGTCGGCCCCAGAATTCGGCCCCGAGTGTCAGCCCCATGCGTCGCCTCTGGAGGCGGAAACCCCAGCCAACCATGCGCGCGCAAGGAGCAATCAAGACCGGCCGGCCCCCCTCACTTTGAGAAACCGAAGGCCACCAAATACCCCTTGCCGCCCCATCACCGTAGTGACTATGCGCAACCTCGATTTGGACCCTATAGTACTCGCGGTTCTATTCTTGTCCTCCCCATCATCATGGTGACCTCTGACCTATCTCCATCGCTATCCCCGACGTCACCCACACTATTCACCCACAGCTCCGCATCCTTACCCTCATCATCCTGTATACTCCACACCGATCTCTACCTTCATCCTTGTCCTTTCCCTCTTGGCAGGATGGGAGGCGCAAGAAGAGAGAAAAGGATGGGGAAAATGGTGGACGAGGACGGGGAGGCAGAAGGGAGATGGGGAAAAAGATGAGAACGCGCCCGTTGGAGGCGGGGTGTCGACGAATGTCTGGCACTCTGTCATTGCAAGCCGGACTGTGCAAACTTGGCCTGCTAAATGCCCAATGATTTGGGGGTCCCGTGCCCCAGCCGCCCTCTCGCCTTGGACCTCGCCGTTGCGAACGCATCTCACGAACAGCCGAAGAATCGGAATCAGAAGAAAGAAGCATGCAGATGTTGGGGGGGTGAAACCGTCAGAAAAAAAGGCGTATCTGGTGTTGGGGGGGTGACACCGTCAGAAAAAGGCGTATCTCATCCAGCATTGCCTCAACATCATCACGCAATATGCCACCAGGATTTGCAGTATACGAGTGTCGAGATCTGGTCAGCCTGGGCGGCGATCTTCGAGGCCCAAACTACTTGGTGAACATAGCGACGAGGTCGGAGCTCAATGCAAAACACCGCCGTCGAAAACAACAGGTTGGTATGAGCAGCCTGAGAGACACAGATTTGACGTCGAAATCCGAATATGCTGTCGAACATGCTCACGGCGTTTGGCTGGATTTGGCAAGTACAACGAAGAACGCAGGCTGCGTCTACACAGCAATGTTCAAAAACATGCCACTAATTTGCCAACAAGGGCATACTGAGGGAAACACGCGTGGAGAAACCAACACACATGGAAGTTGCTAGAAGCGCGTGCTATGGTTCGCAGGCGCGGGGAACTATGGTGATTGGGAAGCCACTCGGTGACTATATGAATCCAGCGCCAACGCGCACCCATCAAAAGACCAGAAGGGAGCTTGGCAGACACAACAAATCAAGCATATATCTTGGCGGACTATTTCGAAGACGCCCAATGGCATGTGCGATCCTCAGACCAGGACACACACACGCGCGAAGTGTTGGGCGATGTTCTACCGATTGCAAGGATCAACTTCGCCGGACGGATTCATTTACAGCCGTACGCAAACTACGTCACGGCCGAGCTCGGCCCGATGGTATACACCTGGCTTGTGGAAGATCGTGATATATTGCTCGGACGGTTTTGAAGTGCTTGTTCTCGATATGCCAACAAAACAGCGCGTGCGCAACACACTGTTGTATTGCAGTCGACGCGGTACAGCATGGTGGTGCAATCAACGTGGCGCAGTCTAGGTGGCGTAATCCATGTGGTACAGGATTGGTGGCGCCAAGATCACCAAGGCCATGCACCGCGCGAGAACCAACGCAACGCAACGCATTGCAAATCAACGCACCTCAGTGCAACACAACGCAAGGCAATGCAACGTAATGCAGAGAAACGCACTGCAAACCCACGCAGAGCATCGCAGAGCAATGCCCAGCAACTCGAAGTAACGCAACGGAGCGCAAAACAGAGCAAGCAGTGCGACGCAGCCTGGCGCAAAGCAAAATTTCGAAAAGTCGTCGCAATGCGATGAGAAGCAATGCGAAGCATACGAGGGGAACCAGCGCGCAAACATGCGAATCAATGCAACGCAACGCGAAGTAACGCAAATCAGTGCAAATCAATGTGGTGCATTTTAGGTGGCGCTACTAAGTAACCCTTCCGCACTTGAAATTGTCACCTCTTTTCCTTGCCAAACACCCCACCCACCCACTCGCAAGTTGGTTTGCAAAGCCCATGCTTCGACGATTGCGGTGACTGCTTGGCGCTGGCTGGCACGTCGCCTCCGTCGCGCTATCGCGCGCAGGCTCGCGCGCACAGCGGCCAGCTAGTCTGGCGCGACCGACGCGGCCGCGGCGGCGCTGGCAAATGGGAATTTCCCGGCGCGTCTCACAAGCCGCGCTGACGCGCAGGCCTTTTCAATGCGGGCGCGGTATCATGGCGACGTCTTCGACGGCAGGCGAGATGATGATAGTAGCGATGCTGGCAACGATGATGACAGCAACGACGGCAATGCCAATGACGACGCCGATGCTGATCACGCCGGTGGCGACAATGGTGTTCACGCGTCGGCAATGAAATTTTTGGAAGGATTTCGACCCGCGCGTGCGTCCGACGGGCGCGAATGGCCCGCATGGTGCAATTTGACAGGGACCGTTCCCACCACACCCCCAACACGCGCGCAAGGGCGTTCGAATCATTTTGACACGCGCGCGCGCCAGAGCCCCGATGGGTCGCACTTGATGAACATATTGAACACCTCATAGTATTTGCAAGAATTCGATAGACGCGCGCAAACTTTTGATGAACAGACATGTTTCAACACCATATGTTTCTTAAATGTGTTCCGGACACTAGATTCAGACATCTTTCCGAAACCTGGGGCATTTGAAAAATTACAGCATGTGCGCGACGACGGGCGCGTGGGGATGTTGTCCCATTTGTTGCAAGAAATTATTGGAAACTACGGATGTTTGGCAAACGGGTGTTCGCGCACAAGATTACTTGACGAGGATGAGGGGGGCGTGGAGCTCGGTTTGGCCGGGATGAAAGAAACTCATTCTCATAATGAAAGATGCGACAAAACTGTTCGTAAATGGAACACCCCCGAGGGGCATCGATAAAAGCGGGCGGGCCATGGTGGTAGATCCGACCATGTTGTCTGGACGAAGGAGAATGCACGTGGTGCTATAAACGTGGCGCAAAGCAGCGCAAATCAATGCGAAGTAACCAGAAAAGCAGCGCAAAGCAACGCAAAGCAAACCAAACAACAACGCAACACAGTACAAAGCAATGCGAAGCTACTCGCAACAACTCATAACATCGCGACGAAAG